AATATGGAGGGCGATGACGTCAGGTGTAGTCCAATGTATGAACATCATCAATTCCTCACTTGTTTAACAATCTTTTTTTTCGAATAATTCTAGATTATAGTTCTGTGAATATCGTTAAGAATTATTTTTTTCATAAGAAAGTCAACTTGTTGAGTGTCCAGGTGAATAAATTATTGAATCCAAAAATCTGACGAAGAATAAAATATTCTGGCAACAAATTTAAAAAACACCCTGTTCCTTCAAAGTTTTGAACGATTTTATCCCCAAACAATATTAAGAATGCGTATTGAACCTCAAAACATCACTTCAAATCTCGCGATAATGGTCATGTGGTCTCTTACTGCGCTAAAATTCACACTTAGGACAATGTTACTCATTTTAACTTCATGTTGATATTGCTACCAAGGTAAGACGGACTCAATGATAATTCTCACGCATTATTATTTCGTCTTAAGTAAACAACTTTGCGATAAAAAAAATATATCTCATTACTAAAAATAGAATCCCGAATCCGAGAAATAAATATTGATTGCAATTAAATACAATGAAACAAAAATAAAATAAAAAGAATTTTAATCCTTACACACAAGCAATTTAATCACATATACGTAACAATGTATGTATGTATGTATGTATGTATGTATGTATGTATGTATGTATGTATGTATGTATGTATGTATGTATGTATGTATGTATGTATGTATGTATGTATGTATGTATGTATGTATGTATGTACGTACGTACGTACGCACGCACGCACGCACGCACGCACGCACGCACGCACGCACGTACGTACGTACGTACGTATGTATGTATGTATGTATGTATGTATGTATGCTGTCTATTTAGATATCTCTCTCAAAATGGCATTAAGAAAGGTTAGTCAATTCTACCATAGACATGTATACTAATTTAAGTTTCCACAACAGATTTTCGATATTAATTAAATTATTCTGATGAAGAAATACTAGCATATAATAAAAACAGATGAAGACGCATTGACTTGAAGGATTATCATATCTTTCTAAAGTCAATAATGCTGTTAGAGTAATAAACTTTGAGAGGTAAACGAAGGAGGCGGGCTTGAAAGTTGTATTTTTATGTAATTTACAAAGAGGAAGTTACAAAATATCTTTTTCATTGACGCATGCTATCTGTTTGTAGGGAAAAGGAAAGATGAAAACTTACTGGCTGAATGGTCGGAGTCCATAGCAAGACGGCAAGCTAAACGGTGCAAAGGACCAAGAACCCAATCAGATATCATTTAGGACAATCGGACAAGTGTTCGAATAAGTTGACAGACTATCAGTAGGAACAGGCTTCGGCGATACTGGAACAATGACATGTAAATAATGCAGTGGCAGTCATTGCATCTTGTTTGTCATATAACGAATTGTACTTCGCACACAACCATAGCGTTCTTAATGGAGGACTCGACTTATTCTTGGTGAAACATTCCCATATTTCTTTCTTCAAGCATGAACTAACTATAAAACTTTTATTTTACTGAACCTGTGTAAAAACAAAATCTATCATGGTATCATATGTTTTTGACAAAAGTCAATTTGCCATCCTAATTTAGATTCAATTAAAATATTACACGACATTTTCCGTGATTTCGACAAATAACTTAGATAAATTTGTAGGAATACACACGGAGTGCACCAGACACTGTTTTGACTGCAACTTTGTCTCCTGTTGCTACCATTTTGTGCAATGTGAACAATTGTAGATTATAATTTAGCTCTCAATGGCGGTGAATTAGATCCGAATTAGATCCGATTTTGTCCGACTTGACGGTAAAGGCTGAAGATCTCCCGATTAGCTTTAGCGCGAAACAGTTTCTGTGCTTTTTTCTCGGCGATTTATCATTTTGTTTATTCTGTATCGCTCGATAAATGTATTTCATGACAGAAATTGATGGAAATGCCACAAGTTGTTCTGACTGATTATTGATGGCTCACTTTCAAAACTTGAATTTTGGGTACATAAATACGAAAAAAAAAGAAGTCTTACGTTGTCTGTATTACTTCTCTAGAATATCAGCATAATTGTCGTGTGTTACTCATAACATTAAATTACATATTTTTTTTTTTAAAATCCAGAATCTGGGTGTTTTAGAAGAAGAACTGTCTCTTTTAAACACTGTTTCTCTTACAAACCGCAGTATTATTTATTGTAGCTGTATACACTCTTAAAAAATGTTTGACACATTCTTAATTCAAATTATGACGTAGGTTAAAGTAGGCCAAAGTGGGCTAGGCCAGGACCTACCAGAAACCAATACTAGTTTCTCCTTATCTGCAGGAAATGTAAAAGTATGTCTGGTAAAACTTATAAATAAGCATGGAAAAACATGAACATATTTCTTGAGGTAGGGAAACTGGAATGTGATCACACACAGTCAATAGGATTCCCAGCAAAATGACTCATCTGCCAATAAATCTGCACAAACAATTTTTAGGAAAATGCTAGCCAATTAAATCCCCTATGGGCATGAATCATTACGTAATTAAAATTTGCCTTGTAATGTTTGAGTAGTAGGACAAAATCGATTGAGTCATCTATGTGGTTTACTCTTTGTAATATATACGTTTTAGAATCTTCGAAAACTATGATACAGCGTGCCGCCAGTGATGTCACTCATTATTATTTGACCATCACCTGTAACGTTGAAACGATACATGCTAAAACTAGTCTTAATTAACATGTATGGCGTTCCTTAATCATAGGTGACTGAAACGTACCCAAACGACTCAATAATGAGTTCACTACTCTATGTTCCATCGGCATCTGTCGAAGTCTCATGTTGTACAAAAATGTGGTAACACGTAAACTTCAAGATTGACAGATGTAGTTAGTGTTTTCGCTGATTAGTTCCATCCTTATAATTTTCAACAGTTCAAATATATTTTTGACTAAATAATCAATGAAACATTTTGCAGAAGTGTACTAGACAATTAATTTATCCGCGTATTGTTTAGGTGGTAACTAGTCTCAAGTCATGGGTCGAAAACCATATAGTCCATTGACGTTAATACAGGCACGTGGAACACAAAGCAGCTAACCGTTTGGCATTTTTCCTGCATGAAGGCATTCGATAATGGCAATGTATATTATCAATGAGGTAGATATGAAACCTTAATGGGCAAAGTTAAGTTCACTTAATCATCACCAATTCTTCGACAGTTTAATTCACTCACCATTATGTAGATGTTGTTTCGTACGGAACGTGGAACGCTTGTGTTCATTATGTGAAAGAAATATCCGTAACAAATTTCTGACATGTTGTTTCACGTAGAGTATTTGTTTATGGAGAAAAGAAAGACTTCAGTAAAAAAAACAACAACCCTTTCCCAAAAAAAACCCCACAAGAACTTAGCATGTGTGTCATCATTGCGACCATGGTTAAAAAAACAGTATTCCTATATGCAAGCAGACGGACAGTGTTTTCAGGCCGATTGACTCCACGAATAAACAATGTCTTTCCTTTACAGTGGAACTTGTTTTTTGAGATTAAAGTGAAATGGTCCTTAAAGACAGCTTTTGTGAACAACTAGGTTATTGACTACCGAATGAAATTTGCTGGTTTCTTACAACAGGTGATCTGTTATATGAAATGACCTTTATAGCACATTCTCGATTGCATATTTTTACGATCTCTTTCTCTGGTATATGTATGTAATTGCCAATGTCTTTTTGATTTTGTGTCTCTTTTAATTTCGTTTGACATGAAATATTTTTTCTGTCTGTCTTAAATTTTGTCTGTTTATATAGATATATGTAATTAATTATTTTTTTGTAAATTTTTGCCATCATTATAAGCATCTCTTTATATAATATCATTCTATACGTAATTATCTTCACAATTGCTAATGTATTGTTTGTTCTCCCTAATGTTTTGTTCAATTTGTATCACTTAAATAATTTGGGAGAATCATACCCCAAATGAAATGAAATTCACATCCTTGCAACAAATATAGCTGATACCAATTGGCAATCAAAGTTTTCTTACAAAGTTACAAATTAACATTACACTTTATTCTACATATCTTTTTACAACAGCAACTATTATTATTATTATTATTATTATTATTATTATTATTATTATTATTATTATTATTATTATTATTATTATTATTATTATTATTATTTTACGTAGAGTCAGAAATATCCGTGGATGATTTAATAACTGCAAACATTAATATGTACTAGAAATAAGGGCCAAATTTTACGCCGCGCACCTGAACTCATTGTCATAAACTCCATCATTTGTGAATATGCCATCAATTTTTTTTTAACAAATACAGAAGCGAGTATATTAATGAAGTAGTAGGCGATACAAATCTATTCGATATTTTATTTGGTAATATTTCTCATTTTACATTAGTAATTAGAAACTATGAATAAAATACTATAAGCATCAGTTTGAAAGTATACGAGCTTTGTATTTGATTTTTGATATCATTACTACTAAGTAAAAACGTATACTGACACCAACGTCTAAAATAATGCAAATATTATTATTTATTAAGATACTATGTCTGAATTGGTGCATAGGCCCTTCCAACTCTCCTACAGGGACATGTTCTCCTGCATACACTTATTAAGTGTATATCTCTATTAAAAGAATGAAGAGAATGTTGTGGATGCAACCGTCAGGCATATTTAAGAATCGATGGCTTTTTCATCATTCCATTTTGTTTCCGAAGCCACTTTTCAAGTACCAGAAACTCTTTGCAAAATATTCACAGAGCGTGAGAGTGTTATGGGATGTGATTATGATTTTTAACGTAGCTTTAACAATTTTTCAGTCATATCGCTAAGATGTCTGCAGTGTGGCAGTTTATAGTGATGTCTAGCACTGGGGCATCTTGCCGCATACATGAAAAATGATGTCCCACCCTGTCACATTATCCTGACACCAGGATGACCAGACCTAACACTATTCTCTTAATGCTGAGCGTCAAGCAAGACAGCTGTTAGTACCAATTTTGGTATGACTCGGCTGGGGATCGAACCCACGACCTCCCGCATTCGAGGCGGACGCTCTAATCACTAGATCACCGGAACGGTGTGTGAGAGAGAGAGAGAGAGAGAGAGAGAGAGAGAGAGAGAGAGAGAGAGAGAGAGAGAGAGAGAGAGAGAGAGAGAGAGAGAGAGAGAGATGAATAAGTCAGTGCACACTTGTTTCCTTTGCACCTTGTGAAGGGCTCAAAAATCTGTTCCTTTGCTTTGGCGTCTTACAAAGGTAAATGGTCGCCCATCCTAGTCGTTTGTTACCATGGCTTTTTAAGAAGTCGTGCATTTGAAAGACCTCAACATCTAAGATCTTGCTATGCACTCCTTCAACCGAATTTAGTGACATTGCAGGTTAGGATAAGCACAATAAAATAAGAGAGACATTTTAAAATAAACGACACGGACACAATTCCATCAAATTCGGATGAGATCTGTTTGGAGATATCTAAATCTACAAAATGTCAGAACAGATCCCTTCTAACAAGTTCATGAATATTAATCCAATCTGACGATGTCATTGAAAGATTTTTTTAAAAGTTAAATCACCCCTCATTGAAACAATTTATAATAAATTTGTTACGGTTAGAAACTAGAAATATATAGAAGATGGTGCCACACTTGAGTATTTATTTAGATAATTGCTGCAGCAATGAAAATTTCAATTCAAAGATGAAATGTCACTTTGGAGATATTTTCCTGGAAAAAAAAGAAACATGTCCAAAATAATATATTAAAGATAAATTACATTATTTTAAACCGGTCTTCCTCCTTACTGAGGTCACTAGAATAAAATTAATTTAATTGGTTTGTTATGGGTCATCTCCGTGGAACAAATATTTAATGTTCGAACTACTTTAAAATATCCAGAGAGAATGTGATCAAATTTTCACAGTAGTTAATATATTACAAGTAAAATGCATTCTGTACTTGCTTAGAAAGTATTTCGTTCCCATGATTTAAACACTCTTGTTTTTAGGATTTGAAATTCTTTTAGCAAAATTCCATTAAATCAAAGAGTAATAGATATATAATACGGCAATATTTATCTCTGCACGTGTGACATAAACATTCATATTCCCTAACAGATGACGTTTGTTTATGGTCATATAATCTATTTTATGTCCATCTAAATCATATCATTTCCAAATTTGGTTTACAATTAGACGACTTTTAACATAATTGGATGATAGTCAGTCTAGATGGTTATTATTACAAATTAATAATTTGTTTATTTGCCATAATTACTTTACATTACTTTGATTACAGTGTAGAGTTGTATGAAATGTGAAAGAAACAAGTAGTTTTACCATAGTATTATAAATCTACGCTTCTGACACAATTAGACACGATTTAAGCTTTGCTCTCATGTTGAGGCATTATTAACTAATGTATGTGCACGTGATGTGTTGTCAACATTCACTGTTGATACATGTTGGATAATAAACAACAGTTTATTTTGCTTCCTATAGTGTAACAGCAGCAGCAACAGTAGTAGTAGTAGCAGTAGTAGTAGTAGTAGAAGTAGTAGTAGTAGTAGTAGTAGTAGTAGTAGTAGTAGTAGTAGTAGTAGGGTTTAACGGCGTGTTAGAACAAAAATGTAAATATGTTATCCACTAAAAGTTAGAGTCTAGAAATCAAGATATAAAGAATAGCAAAGAAAAACTCCAGGACAATACAGGTTTGAAAATTAGCTTTAAAAACCGTAATCCCTTAAACGGTTCATTGACGTAAGATGCATTCTTGTCGATTCTCTGTTTAGAAGGAAAGCAAGAGTCGGGTAAGTGTCCAGTACGCGATTGACATAAGATATGCATGAATTAGGTATGTGTCCGGTACGCACTTGACCCAAGGTATGCATGAGTCGGGCGTGTGTCCGATACGCGATTAGCACTATAACTCCTTATGTAAGTAGTATGTTCTGTCTTGGGGATGTCACTCTCCAATAATGGACTGAAGTTTGTTTCTCGATTTAAAATTCCACATTTTTGCCAAATGCGAAGAACTTCCTCATTTATGTAATATTTGAAGTCAGAAACGGGTTACTGAAAGACAGATTTGGCCGATTTAGCTGCCTTTTAATTTCCCCTTTATAGTAATTTGGCGAGGCAGGCAAAATTTTTTTTAAAAACCCACTTTATCCGGATTTTAAATGAAAATCGCGTTTTCGTAAAATTAGAAACATTATCGGGTTGTCAGACTGAAGGTTTTGCAATGGCTTTTGGTGGGGAAAGAGAATTCGAAAATGCTCGCCATTTATATTTGGAGAGGTAGTTAAAAGTTTTCAGCATGGTGACAATTTCACCCGTCAGAATGGAGGATTTATGAATAAAATTTGGATTTCTTTAAGTGTTCATAAGTTGGCATTTTTCTCTTAGGACTACATCATATTTGCTTTTAATGGACTAGATAAAAGTTAAGTAGTATATTGATCAACCAGTTTCATTCGAGATAAAGTGATGGTTTAATTTCTCAACACAGAATTACTGAAGTCGGAGTTCTAACTGCTCCCAGATAAAATCCAAGTCCTTCATCGTGAATCTACAAGTAAGATTTACAAGCGCGATCGGTACACAATCGAGTCAAAGCTAAGTTTAAAGCCAGCTAAAGTTCTGACTAATCGGAGCAACAGCTTCCGGTCTGCTCTACGATCTGTGTTTTCCTGGCCTTGTGTAATATTCTGGGAGTTTTGAAATTAATCAAATAAGTATCAAATATAGGGAAGAAATGTTAGATCACGATTGAAGACAATTCCTAAATATGTAGTCCCTCAACAAGCTGGATTAAAGAACCGTCAAGAGGTAGCTTTAGATCAACACGAATTCTATATAATCGGCACAACTCCATACATAACCGTATTAGATTTGGAACTGAACTCTTTACTTTCTGACCATTTCTGAACGCTCTGTCGTATGCATACCTTTTGTTCAACAGCAGATCAAACATTAGTCGACCTATAAAGAGCAGTCAGTATTCGGAGTTAGGACATGTCACTCTTATTAATTTTGATGTTGAAAAGGGCGACTATATAGATGTGAGTGCATGCATGTATGAGCATTTAAGGGCGCTTCAGCACAATAACAGCCGTATAATGACAATTACAAAAAAAAATAAAAAATGAGCAACTGCCTAAAACTGGTAAACATGAAGTACTACAAGATAGAGACATAAAAGGTAAAGATTCTAAACTTGTGTAAATTGTTTATACAAGCGTACAAGTTATCACGTCTCTAAATTATATGATCCAATTTGTTATATAAATCGCACTCTCTCGAAAAATGTAAATCATTTTTTTAAATTAAAAACGAATATAAAGATAGGTATGAGGCTCGTTAGACATAGATCGAATAAGTCATTCTGCTACATTGTGATGTCAAGGGATTGCACAAACCTTTAAAACGAAACTTCTCCCAAAAATGTAAACATAACTTACTAGAAAGAATATAAAACGTAAAGATGTTAACGTGCTTTAAAATGTACATATAATTAAGGATAGGACAAGCCAAAATTTCTTAGGCACATAATTATCTCGGGGTGAAGTTATCTAAGTAATTCGTCGAGATGAGTTTTATGATAATGTGTCTGTCAGTTAGGTTGTTACCAATTGACAAGATTTCTTGAAATGTTCCATATATGTAATGTGTGTGTTTGTATGTATGTATGTATGTATGTATGTATGTATGTATGTATGTATGTATGTATGTATGTATGTATGTATGTATGTATGTATGTATGTATGTATGTATGTATGTATGTATGTATGTATGTATGTATGTATGTATGTATGTATGTATGTATGTATGTATGTATGTATGTATGTATGTATGTATGCATGTCCGTCGTTTTTAGCAAAAAATTTTTTATGTAATGCCAAGAAAAGGAACAGTTCCAGATGTATATAATTAAACTACACCAACATCAGAAAGATAAAGCCTTCCAAATAAATATATAATTAAGTTCAACATCATTTATAAAACGTAAAGACATACCCATTCTGTAAAATGTACATAAAATAACAGAGAAAGGCAACAGGTGCTTGGAACATGATTAAAATGTACAGACTTCATTCACTTAAAAATTATCAAGCAGTCCAAGAGAAAATATGCCCTTCGCACAGAGTACAAGTCGACACACTCGACAATCATGTGCCCCACTGGTAGTAGATACTGGCTCAGTAAGACTCCGGCTGAGGTTCACCTTTCAATAGGTTTATATAGCATTTACCCAAAAACAAAAGAACTTACAGAAATTATCATTGCATTCATATATCTATCAGGTTTAACGTCACCTCGGCACAATTCTGGCTGTATAGTGACGATTAAAGGTCAATTTCTAAACACATAAACCGAAACATTATGAAAAAGTTATGGAACATAGACCTTTTAATATAAAATAGGGTTTTTTATGGCGGTGGTAGTGGTTTTAGCAACACTTTAGCAACTATTAGCTATATTGTGTGGAAGAAGTGGGGGCCATGTGTCTTTCCCGTCAACAGTGCTTTGAGTCATTATGAATTCGATGTCATTGGCAGAAATTTAAGTCTTCGAAATATTAAAACCATTTTATTCTGCCTATTTCGAAACCCTATTTAGTTGACGTTCAATAGTTTGCATCGTTTCTGCTCTATAGCAAATTAAATGACCGTCAACATATAATGAGCAGCCAGTTCCTGGGATAAGGTATTTCTCTACGCATTTAATGTTGGCAGTTACCCGATAGACAATTTTTTTGTCCCAAGGTACGCAAATCTCCATAAGATTGCTTTCCGAAAGGGTGTTGCCTACCTTGATTCCAAAATTTATTTCAGAAAATCGGAGATAATGTTAGATAGGTAGCCTATTAGACATTTCCGTACATCCTTGTGGTATCAGGGTTTTCTCCCGAGTCCAAAATGGTGGCAACTATATATTCTTTCTGTATAAAAGATTATCTAAGACTGTCAACCGTGCATCTTTGGCGTATGAATACACATAACAACAGTTTGTTGGATTCGAGATGCAATAGGTAATCATTTATGGCCCGTTTCATAGTTTTACAAATGCAGATTATTAGTG